CCGTAACTATAACCGTAGTTATTTCAATGGTTTCTGAACTAATAGTTATTTGAACGGAATTATTAATTAGTAAAGAAGGTAGATTTACTATTAATCTATTATTACTCCTTCTTATATATAGTAATAGAGGACTATAGCTTATAAATAAGCTAGCCGAGATCCGTAAGAGGGTCTGAGACTGCATATTAGTATACCAGAGAGCTTTAGTAAGCGGTAATAATCTTATTATATAGGAATTCGGTAATTTATAGGGCAGTTATAAGTCTATACTATAACTAGTATAAGTTATTAATTAGGATCTAAATAACCTCAAATATTGACTTTTTAAAGTATTTTGCTATTATGGAATTCAAGTCTATAGTATTTCATTTATCTAGATTTTGATATTAATACTCAGGACTTTTAAAGAAGTTACGGATATTCGTATAGGCTACTTTATAGGTTCGTTAAGATAGCTGGTTATTATAAAAGTAATCTTATACTAGACCCTTTAGTATAGTAGAGAAAGCTCTTATAAGTGCCTCTTATAGGAGGTCTATATATTAATAGATATTAAGAAAAATAATAAGCTTATAGTCAAAACTACTATTTATTCTATTATACTTCTGTTCTTTAATATAGATTCTAGCTACTTCTCTAATGAGCTTTACGGCCGGGATTACCTGAGGAGTTTCCGGGTTAAGTAGTAATAGTAGTAGTAGCGGCGGAGGAGGTTAATTAATATTCTATATGCCCTATTCCGGTAGTAGTAGTAGTGGTCGAGGTTAAGGTTAAGGTAGTAGAGGTAGTAGAGGAAGTAGTTAAATGTCTAGTATACCAGGGTATTTAGCTTCTCCTAAAGTTACGAAGACTAAGGTAATAGGACTATTCGTAAGGTCTGCTCTCACCGGACCTATTTGTGTAATATTAGCTTCATTCTATACGTGCTTCGTCTCCTTATTAACGACATTAACTAAGGACTGGGCTATAGTAAAGTAGTTAGTATTCTGCTCAATAAAAATACTACTATACCAAAGATAGGATTAAAGGCGCTGTAATTCGGTACGGTTAAATTAATTAAAGGCTAATAGGTTAAAGTTCTTGAAGTTATTCTTAAATAGATCCTATAGATTATTATTAGTAGTTCTATCTACGGAGTACTAGTAGAGCTTAGTATCCAGATACTCCTAAAGATCCTCCTTTATTATAGTTACTAGGTTAATCCTATTCTCTTATTTCTTGATCTTCTCCTTCTACTCGTCTTCGTCTATATTAACCCTTTAGAATATGTATAGTTTTAATAGGGGAATAGTTCAAAGGTAGGGTAGTTCGTAATAGGTTCGTAGAAAGGTATTAGTAGTTCGTAAATATTTTAGTCGTAAATTTCATCTATAATAAGAAATTTAGGGAGTAAAATATTAAGTTTCCGGAGGGTTCTAAAGCTTAAAGGGGCTCAACTTAATAATAAAATCGAAGTAGGAGCTGAAAAGCTTATAGGGCTTTAGGGGCGTATGTTTCCGGAGGAGGGGTTGTAGTAATATATAAGTAGAGGTTAGAGGTTACTAAGAAGGTAGTCTTAGTACCGAATAAAGTTGGTCTTAAAGGACAGTTGAACTAGATAGTTCAGTTAAATAGTTAAAGGGTTAACCGCTTTCTGATTAGTAAGAGCTAATCTCTTCTCCTTAGGCTACCGAATACTTTGCCGGAGTTAATATTAGTTCCCCTCTTTGACTAGGAGTAGATATTACTATCTTAGGCTACCGAATGCTTTACTAATAGTAGGACCTTTCTCTAATCTGAATCTTCTGATCTGAATGCAGGCAAATCAGTAGCGAGCTACTAGATTCTTCTGATCTGATCTGGATCCGGAAACTAATTAGTATCGGTTCACTAGCTAGTAACGCATAGTACCGTTACGTAGTCGTGGAATGCTAATTGCATAGGTTGGTAAAGTTGTTGTATTCTAGTAAGTAGGGATCGCAGTATCGAGGTTCTGATATGCGATCCCTAAATACGCTAAGCCTAATTGGTGCTAGTGTCTGGCATGTCCCGTTTCCTGCATGTCCCATGTCCCATGTCCTACATGTAGGAAACGAGGTCATGTGACAAGATCACATGACCTCCGGGAAACCATACCAACAGCTACGATTACTAGTAATTAGTTCTTCTCATTATAGATAAGCCTAGACTAAGGTATACTAATATATGTCATTGTCTCTACCGGCCTAAGGGAGCTCACTGAGATCCTTCCCGTTACAGATTAGCCCAGATCAAGGCATATAGTATATATTATTATTTACCACAGCTACGATTACTAGTAATTAGTTCTTTTTATTACAGGTTAGCCTAGATCAAGGTATATAGTGCATATTGTCGTCTCTACGATATAAGGGAACTCACTGAGATCCTTCCCCGATACGTAATACTATAGCATAGCTAGGCAGAAGCTAGCTACGTCGTCGTGAGGTATTTCTTCTATTAGCTAAGTCATATCACATGAAAGGAATACTAAGGGTAAGCCTCTAGTACTATAGTTACGGAGGGAGCATTAACGTGAGGATTATAATAGTATAACGGCGAGGAGAGGGCAGTGAGCTGAACTTATACTTATATCTCGGGTAATATAATACTATCTAGAGGAATAATCACCGTCGCGATAGTTATAAGTATTAAATCCAGAGTAGTAGATCAAGGAGGATCGAGGGTTCTGGCTATAAACCGGCCGTACCGTTAAGGCTTTTTAGCTGTAATAGGGCGTTTTGAGTAGGTCTCAGTAAAGAGGAGTTAATAGCGTATAACGAGGTTAAATAGCTAAGCGAGGGGTATTAGGAAAGGATTAAAGAAGAAGATAGTCGAGTAGTAGAGAGCGCGAACTTTTATAGATGTTAAAAGTGGCGGCTAGCCTGTATATGCACCTTTCCCAAAGCAGAAGTCACTAAACCCGAGGGGGCAGACCATAGTACTAAGATAATACTTTATTATATTATTAATATAAATAAATTAGAAATCAAGTCTTTTTCTTTTATTAATACTGGAACTAATAGTTATACTTTTATTAATATAAAGCCTATTTAGCTTATAAAATAATTCTTAAATATAGAATTATAACTCTTTTTCTTATTTTATATTATATATAGTTTTAATAGAAAGCCTATTAAGTTTATTGAGAAATATATAGAAGTTTTATTTCTAATTAATAAATAAAATATTAATATATTTATAATTATTCTAAACCTTAAAAATTATAATATTATTTTTAATAAAAAATAAGCTATATATATCGCGAGCTCCTGGAATTACTGAACTTGCCAGAGAATCTTGATTCCATAAAGCTTCTGGCTGAATATGGTTTAGTACCGGACGACATTTTACTAGAGCTTGGTTTACTGCCGAACCACACTTCACTAGAGCCTTCGCCTTCGCCTCCTTTATCTCCTTCGGTTCCCTCTCCTCTGCCATATATGCCTCCGCGGCTACGTACGGCTCCTGCAGCAAGCTTTGCTCCTCGTCAAGCTCCTGCTTCGCCCGCTCCGGCTAGCTCTCTTGGCCCCCCGTTCGTTTCGTACATCAAGATAGAAAAGGGCTGTTTCTATTTCCATAATAAGTACCCCTCTGGCCTTCGGCATACACACAGGAACCACTGCCCCTGGTTCCACCACCTTATTACAGTGGGCACTTGCTACTTGAACGATCGTGGTGAACTGTGTCTTGGACCGAAGCGACACTAGCTCAGCCCCTCCCTTTCTGGAGCTCTACTATGAGCCAAGGGGAGCAGGTAAAGCGCCGTACGGACGGTACAGAATGGGACGAAGTGGTGGAAAGGAGGGTTTGGAATCCTGTGGTATTTCGCTCTGGCAGTGTCTTGGTGGAGCGGCAGAAGCCATAATCCAGGGGTAGATCACGTGCGCTCTCACTAGCTTACTGCCTACGATTCGCAGACGTATGGGAGCTGGTTTAGTGGGTTACTTGCATGTAGCGGGCTCTTGGTTTGGTGCTTGGTTTGGTACTTATTGGTTTGGTGCTTTATTCTTTGGTTCAGTGCTCGGGACGAGCACTAGTTGGCTGGGGACGTGTGTAATGGAGAATCAGGTGACGCTCACGTGGTTGGGTCACGTGCTCTCGGCTATCCACCACCCCCATATATGTAGCTCTCTTCTCCTCTTCTTCTCTCCTTCTCACCAAGATGGTGTCCCGAGTACTCGAGTTCTCAATATATATTTTAGAGTCCCCACGTGCCCCTCTTCACTAGTAAGTCTTAGTATAATAATAAGTCTTACTAGAATATAATAAGTATTAGATACTATTATATATAGTAAAGAATTATTCATTGAGTTCTCTGTCTGAAACTAGCTAAGTAAGGCGAAGCCTCGCTTGTACATGCATGTGCCATCCTGCCATGAAATAGTAAGCCTTACTACTGCTTTATAAGACTTATTAATATAGATCTAAATACAGTAGTACTAATTATAGACTAATTATTTGACTGCTAAGCAGCCAAATCCAATACAAATCAAGTGTGAGGGCGACGATAGAAATGTGATTTTCTAGTAGAAGGGGTTCAGGCTATCTAGAAAAAGCTATAAAACATTTCTTATTAAAATTTATAGAAGATATTAACGTGTGTATAGATTTTAAGATGCTTCAAGTCAAAGTACCTATTATTTTTTTTCGGCACACCGGTTTTTTCGGCACGCAGGGATAGACGTTAGCTGCGCTTTCAATTACGTATTGCGGATCCCCCCTGCTAGTTGAGGCAGCTGCTGCCGGAGGGGGGATAACTAGCGAGCGTGGCGCCCTAATGCGGCCTTGTCATGCTTTCCAATCCGTAGTGTAATAATCTGTGTAATCCTAACTGATTATTTTTGCCACACAGGGCTTAGTACTGGCGATACCGTCAGGGGAACACTAGCGTAATCCGTCCAACCCCCCCCTGGCGACATGTATATAACCGTGTCCTCTCTCACCCTCCTCTTCCTTCTTTATAGTCAATTTCAGTCTACCTTCTGCTGCATTACATTGATCGTGAGCATACCTTGATACACCATACACCAAAACAAACATGAAGTTATCTACACTCCTCGCTGCTTTCACAGGAACTATTGGAGTGGCTATAGGGATCTCAACAGGCGTCACCCAGAACTACGATGGGTACACGGTATCAACAGTGGGTGAACCTAGGAATGGACCTGCACGCTACACCAATGGCAAGTTAAACACGACTGAGAGAGCATGGCTGGGCGGTGGGGCACAATTCAATGGGTCATGGACAATGCCAGCCGACACGAAGTACATCGCGATAGACGACAACTACAATGGTACCGTGACGCTAACAGAATTATCGCCTCGTGGTGGACAGCACTACGCTACAATCTACTGGGACTTCAACTGCCCAGGTGTGCAAGCTGTTGCTACCGTGTGGAATTTTGGTTGCGGAGGTGCCTGCGTCTATAAAAACAGTGGTTTCGACAGCATTGGGCTAGGGCAGGACACTACTTACAGTCCATGGCCTACGGCAAACATCTACGCGGATGACAGATGCACACAGTACGAAGCACATGCGGGAATATGGGCAGACAGGACATGGGGATGCACCAACAAGGCAGGAGGACAGACCTGGAATTCGTTCTATCTGTACGATGGATGTTGAATTGGTCAATCTTGGTTGGGATCAGGTGGGATCCAAGTGAAAAATGCAGCCGAGCGAGACGCCCGGAAACTTGGAAAGCCTACAAAAAGTCGTCGCCAGAGACGAACCCGTGTTCTCTTTATCTCATCACTCTCTACTCATGCTGAGCACTTGCTCCTACCTTGCAAAATTACTGGCTGTCAACGAAAGAGTACCTCTCAAACCCATGCCTTTATTGATTGTGGTGCAACGGCTGAATTTTGTGATTCCACTTACGCTTCTTCCCTACGTCTTTTAATCTACGAAATCCCCCACCCCAAACAATTAACAGTAGCTGACGGACAACTTTCCTCCGCTGGCTTGGTTACCCACGCCACTGACCTCTTTATTAACCTCAACGGACACGAAGAACTTCGAACGTTCTACAACACCAACCTTGGCCGCTACCAAATAATTCTGGGAAAGCCTCGGCTTAAGAAACACAACCCCTCCATCGACTGGACCCAGGACACCCTAACCTTGGGCTTGAGCGAAGCTTTTCTACACTCCGACCCCCCCGCCCGCCTAGACGTGACCTAATGAATTACTATTCCATCCGGACTCGATTTACATCACATGTTTTCGACGCTTCTAATTGGCTGAATATATCATCTTCTGATTGGACGACCGGAGGCACGTCCTCCCATGACCCCGCGATTCACCCGCGTAGGCTTCCCATTTACGCATTTCCTTTGTAACGACATGGACACAAAGTGCTGCTCCAAGTGCGCCCATACGCGTCTACTCTCGTGCTTTCTCAAGAATGCCTCTGCTACCCCTGGATAGCAAGGTCTTTTCAACTTGTATTGCTTGCCGTGAGCAGTCAAACAAGAGGAAGGCTCTCCGGCCGTTAGACCCTACCGTATTATCTGTCGTATAGTCCCCCCCCCCCTTCATATAAGCCCAGGTACTTGCTTATCCGAAGTGGAACGAACGGGTTATAAGCCCATGGGCCTATATTATAAGTCTGACGTACACGTGACCTAATTAGCCAATTTAATAAGAGTACAAAGCAGGTAATAAAGCAAATATATTGCAGCTAAAAGAGACTAAAACAGTACAATTACACCTACATATTCTCATCCCCTATATCCCCATCTCCATTAATATCATCATCATAGTTAGAATCAGGATCAGGATCAAACCTGTCTTCAGAATCAACCCCTGAATCAGTAGTATGTCCTCTTCCCTTTCCCCCTTAATTATAATGCCTTCTACTACCTCTTGTGCAGTATACAAGTGCCCCTCCTCATTATTATCCACCTCAATTATATCCTCAATATCCTCATTATTAATAATAGTGGGGGTTTCCTCCATACCGTTAGGTACTTGTTGCCAGTCTCTAATTATAAGATTTGGGCAGTCACGTACTTTAGGGAGGCAATCTTCAGATCCATCAATAGCAAGGGATAAACCAACGCTTTTAAAGCAAGCAATAATAGCGTTTTTGTGGTCTAAATGAACTCGTTCAAGCGCCTGAGCTACCCAATGAGTAAGGAGTATACGCCGATCACCTACTGACCACTTGCCAGACTGCCATATCTCGAAGTTCTCCTCAATCCACAGGTCTTCATATTCCTCGATTTACCCCTTAACCAGTTTATTGATTAAGATATCAAGTACTTGTACATAGCCTGTACAACCACCAGTTAAAGCACTCCAGGTTGCCACCAAAATACTATTAGTATAAACGCATAGTTGGTGCCATGAAACAATTGGTATCAAGGAACTATTGGTACTATTAAATTACTAGTATAAATAATTTGCTGGCACAAAGAAACCATTAGTACTAAGAGGCTAGTAGTACTATTAAAATATTAGTACAAGAAATTTATTAGTACTTAAAAATAACCAGCACTATTAAATTATTAGTACAAATAATTTGTTAGTACTATAAACCCAGTAATACCAGGAAGTAATTAGTGCAAAAAGATACAAGGAATATAGACCTAGGTTTCCCTTGCATTACATACCTCACTTAATGTGGACATTAGGCGAGTGGTTATAACTATCAGAATAATGCTCCCTGGACTACCTAGATAGTGCCGCACCACCTCTCACTACTGGGTGGATCTTGTAACTAGGCTATATATAGGGAAAGTGGCCTTGGATACTTGGGAGAGGTGGGAAGAAGAAGTCGCTGCATTCTGTTTTAGGAGTTAGTTTTCTGGCGGTCGGATTTTGAGGCAAGGAATTGCCGATGGACGACTGTCCACATAATAATACTCGCTTAATTTTGGCAGTGTGGGCTCCGATAAGCTCGATAAGCGACGATTAGATAATCGCGCTAATTTTTCGATAATCGATAATCGACCATCGATTACGATAATTATTGAACTAAGGCCTTGGCAATACTACAGGGCCACTACAGGGCCACTACAGGGCCAATGTGCTATATTTATAGGCCTCATACCACCTTTTCTTTACTATAGCAGAATTCCGATTTAGTAAAGGCGGTATAAGGCCTATAAATATAGCGCATTAGCCCTATAGTAGCCCTGTAGTACTACTAAGGCCCTGGACCCACTATTATTAATAGATTTAGTACTATAAAGGCGGTCTAAGGCCTATAAATATAGCGTATTAGCCCTGTAGTGGCCCTGTAGTGGCCCTGCAGTATTGCCAAGGCCCTGGAACCCACTATTATTAATGGAATTATTAATGGGCTCGCTTAATAGCTGGCTGGGCCCACTTTTATTAATGGAATTATTAATAAAAGCGGGCCTAGCCATTAAGCGAGCCCTATTATATTAATAGTATTAGCAATAATTATATTATTTATATTATATAATAGACTATTAAATAGAAATATAATAGTATAGTAATAATAGTCTATTTTTATACTAATCTTTATACTAATTGGTTTATAATTAAACTAGAAAGCGAGATGTTTATATAATAGGGCTCGCTTAATAGCTGGGCTCACTTTTATTAATAATAATTATTAATATTAATTAACTATTAATTGCTTAGCCAATAACAATTACTAATTAATAATAATTAATAATTTATTAGAGCCTATACTGAATTTTGGTATTCCGACCTCCTAAAAATAGTACCCTAACCTATCTCAATTCGGGGGTCAGAATACTACTACCTTAACTATAAGTAAAATAAAAAAGTTTATAAGAATTAATACAGATATATTAATTTTGGATTTATCTATAAATATTATTTTTATATTTTAAAATATAATTCCTGAAATGTAATTATTTAAATAATTCTTTATTACTAAAATAATTATAATTACTTTATTTTAATTTAGTAAGATATATTCTTAGAAGCTAGCTTAATACTATAATACTTTCTAATAGTATAATAGTAGGAACAGAGTAATAGAACAAGACTTAAAGATTAATAATTTCTAATGTCTTAAGAATTTAAAGCTAAGGAGGACAGGAGTGAGGTGTGGCAGTGGATAAGTAGGTATGGCCAAGACTACTGAAACGCCGAGCTTTGGAAGCGAGCTTGGTTTGAACTATAGCTTGGAACCTTAGCTGAAATCAACCCCTTTAGCTAAAACCAATCATATAATACTAGCTATTATAAATGGCTTTAAAATACCTTTTAATAAATAATTAAAACAATTATAGTACAAGTAATTATAGTACTATTTCTTTTAATAGTTAGTTTTTTACTTATTTTATTTTCCTGAACTTATATAAATAAATAATATAATATAATATAGCAAGTTATATATTATAAAAATCATATTATTTTAGTAGTTTCTATATAGTAGTTATATAATTACGAACTTGTTTGCTATTATATAACTTGGAAGTAATATATGAAAAAGCTAGCCTTTTTTATAATTCTAGTCAAGTAATCTTCTTTCCTAATTATTAATTAACTTCTTTGAATTATATACCGTTCTTTCTTTATTATGCATTACTCTGTTTTAGTTATTTTACTATTTAGTTACGTTTTGCTCTCTAGTATTCTTTATATACGTTTTTATTTTATTGCAGTTTCCCTCCCACAATAACATACCTAGCTATCTTACCCAATATACAGATAACCTAACTCAAAACATAGCTCGTCCCAATACAGAACCTCAAGTTCGCTTGGATTATTATGAAAACAACCCGCAGCCCAGAAGACCGCTTCTAGACAAGTGAGAATCACGTTCACTTTTAAACTCGCCCATTTCTTCCAGCTCTCCGTTGTTTCATTAGTATTTGCTAGGTAATAACAATTAGAGATTTTCGCCCCCTGGAGTATTTGTTAGCTTGGTCGCGTTGGGGATAAAGGTTAGGGTGGGGGAGAAAGCACAAAGGGTAAGAGAGGGGAGGTGAGGGAAGCGGCAAAAGTCACGATTCCCAATGCCATGGTATTTGCTCTGTTTATTGGTGCACCAGGAACTTTAATGAGGAAGGGCTTAATTACGGAGACGCCGACGGCGACGAGGGCGAGCATGATTTGGAGGAAATGAATGGGGGATTTGTAGTAGAAGGAAAAGGAAGATATCCTGTAGTATCTTGGTTTGTATAAAACTTTGTTAATATTAATTAATTTCGAGCTGGGGGTTATTAAGTTGTGCGGATCAAAGATCGAGTTCGAAATCAGAGTGAAGAGTAAGATATAATTGTAGTTAAAGAAATATATCGAGACGAGTTCATAATTTCGCTTAAAGAAAGAGTATTTAGAAATAAAGGGTTAGTACTAAGATATTGGTTTGGTTACTAAAGCTACGTTCTGTAAATACATTGCATTTGTATTACACTCGGATTCGCTTGTATCTAGGATTTAGATCAGAGTTTAACTGCAAGGAGCTTGTACTGAGGCCCACAGCTAGCTAGTCAATAAAACAGAGAAGCGATATTTGATTTTCTGATTTTCGATTTCTGATTTTCTGATTTCTGATAACTGTATATACCTGCCCCTCTATTTTTAGGGTATGCCTTACTATTGCTCTAGTAATTTAGTACTTATATTACTAAAAGTACTTTGTAATAGTAATATATAGCCTGAACTTATAATATATTAATACTATTAATATCTTATTTA